AAGACAACTTGATATCAATATAATTGACATCAAAATTGAAACAAAATTTACTTAATTGTATTTATAAAATGAGCTAACTGGTTTGGATAAGTAATGCATTTGTTTAAGAAGGTAAATGATTTTGATAAATGTTACAGTGGTATTAGGGGGATAAATGACTTGGATAAAGTTAAAGGTGATAACTGATTGGGATAAATGTTACAGAGGTATGAAGAAGATAACTGATTTAGATAAATATTACAAACTATATTAAGAAGATAACTGATATGGATAGATGATAGATGGGTATTAGAGGAATAAATGATTTAGTTAAACTATTCTTAATTTTTTTTATAAGTTTCAATCAAAAGTTAAGATTTTATTTACTTAAAAAGAAAAATAAGTTTTTTACTCATTCCTTTCTTTTGGAAAATGAAAAACTATAAAATATTTTAACCATTAAAAACAATAAAATAAAGTTAAAAAAAAACAAAACTTCTTTAAACATTTAGAAACTTAACATTGTTTTGGTTGAACTGAAAATCAGATACCTCACCAATTGACCCATAATTGACAAAAAAAAATCTGAACAAAATGATTATCTCAACAAAATGATCATCTTAGCAAAATGATCTGTGACTTGCTTTTTTTATGATTTATGGTTTGCTTAAGATGGTTTTTAACTAAAATAATACAGTTAAATCAATGATTGTAGAATAATACATTCTTTAAATATTTTAATATTTATATTCAGAAAATATTTTAGCATTTACTCTGTAAATGTTTTAATATTTACATTCTTAACTGTAAATATTAAAATATAATTATATATATATATATATATATATATATATATATATATATATATATATATATATATATATATATATATATATATAAATATATGTATATATATACACATATATATATATATATATATATATATATATATATATATACACATATATATATATATATATATATATATATATATATATATATATATATATATATATATATATATATATATATATATATATATATATATATATATATATATATATATATATATATATATATAATATATATATATATATTTGTCTATATTTGTTTATATTTGTTTATATTTTTTTATAATTGTTTATATTGTTCTATATATTATTTAAGTTTAAGTCTATTTTTTATCAAGTTTAAATAAACATGAAAAAAGTCTTTCTTAAAAAAAGAAGGACTTAAACGATACATAGACAAAATACTTTAGCCTTAGTTTTAAATAAAAAATTCAACAATTATGAATTGCAGAATGTAGCACGGAACTAGTAGAAATATGATGTAATAAACATTATTTAAGAAGATGTTGTGTTTCTTAGCAACTGATAATGCAAGTGTAATTATGATATTTTTTGGTATTAAATTATTATAAATAATATCCATAGCTGTTATGTTACAAACAATCAATAAATTAAACTGTTATTGAGAGGGTAAAAAAATAAGTTTTCAAACTTTGAATCTTCATTTAAAACCTTATTAAAATTTTAGGAAAGATTGTCAGGATCAATAACTCTAAAATAATGTTTGTAGAAGTTCAAGAAGAAATAAAAATGTCAAAAAAATAGTATTAAAAAAATATTATTTTTTAGAATAGTTTAAATTTTAAAATTATTATCATTATTACCTAAATGATTGGGTTTTAGAATTATTATCTGTATTACCTAAATCATTGGGTTTTAGAATTATTATCTTTATTATCAAAATCATTGGGTTTCAGAACCTTTAGTAGGCTTCCTGTCACAAGAAACATATTAATAAAAAATTCAAAATAAAAAACTAAACCTTAAATTGTGGAACTTTGTGACACTCCCTGAAAAGATCTGAAAAAATCTAATATTGATCTTGTAGAATTAAAACTGTGACATTTTAATTCCTACTAAATTTCTCTTCAAAAAATTGAAAACTGAAATTTTTAGAGCATCAAAAATAAAATCTTGTAAAACATTTTGTTTAAAAGTATGATATATTTCTTTGAAAAGCTAAATTTAACTGTAAATCCATCAAGAGAAATCATTTTAGAGAAAATTATTTGTTTGAACACTTGTATTCACTTCTTTTTCAAGTTAAAAAAAAAAAATATTTTTTACTTATCACTCTTCGAAATATATATATCAAGTTTTTTATTTATTTATGCTTCCTCTTTTTTTTTTAATGAAAGTTTAAATTAAATTTTTAAATAACTTAATAACTTAGTTTTGGGAATTTTATACATTTACTTTTAATAGCAAGATTATACTCAAACAAATATTTATAAATATAATTAAAAAAAAATTAAAATAGTTGCTGTTTGAAATAATCTTTGTTGTTAAACAAAATTTGCGTTTCTAATTGACTAAAAAATCAATGAAAGTGTAATAAATAAATGATACATTTTTTTTTGCTGAAAAACAGCTTCGACATTTAATAATCATAACTCATAAAATTGCTAATTACTTGTATAAATTTATAAATTTTAAACTGATTTATTTTACTTGTATAAATTATTTAGTTGCTACATCCTTTAAAATATTATTGTTTAAAGCTACGCTCTTATAAAGAAATGCTTTTATAACCAATTAATCATTAAGTCTTTTGTAAAAGGATATAAAAAAATAAATGCAAAATTTTGCAGACCTGACATTGGTTAAGTACGGCCATATTGTGCAAACCTAAAAACCTGTGTAATTTGTAGGCTGTATTTATTTTTTATATTTTACTTTATTAAAGTTTAAAAAAATGTTTAAAATAAATTTTTCTATAAAAAAATAATTTTTCACAAATTTTAAAGTAAAAAAATACACTATACTTACATAATTATTAACTTTTTTTATAAAATTCAGCAACTTTTGGATTTTTATTTAAAACTTGATTATTAGAGAATATGACTACTCAAATGCCCTCACAATCATAAAATGATTTTTAATGTTATAAAAATTAAAAAAAGAAAACGCATACATTTTATAAATATTAAATAATTATTGTGCATTACAATAATAGGTTTTAATTTATGTTAAATCAGAAAAAAAAAATATTTAGGTTAGGTTTGATCATTTTTTTGTAATGATTCTATAAAAATAAAATTATAAAATTGTGCAAAAGAATCAACTATAATAAGAGACAGTGGAAAGTAAAATTTAATAATAACTTAATAAAAATGTTCAAGCATGTTTTTTTTTGTTTAATATTTAGTAAATGGTCATAAAAAACATAAATATAACTAACATATTTTGAATAATAATGTTCTTTAGAAATACGTTCATCAAATAGGTTCTTTATATTAAATTCTAAAACAAATAAATATAATTTAATTTACTAAAAAAAAACTTACTATAATTCCTTTTCCTAACCATGTAAGTTACAATTAAGCTTTATTAAAACTTTTGAAATGTCTAGTTGTAGATTTAGATGTCTAGTTATAGATTTGTAATTGTAATTTTTAACTATTTTTAGTAAATGGTAATGTAACATTATGGTCTGTTTGGTCTCCATGTTCTCGTACTTGCTCTAATGGCACAAGATTTCGTACTCGAGACTGTGCCAATCCATCACCAAGGTTTGGAGGCTCTGATTGCAGAAATATAGGACCTTTAGAACAAGTTGAAGAATGTTACAATATACTAGAGTGCCCTGGTAATGTTTTTTTTCTGTAGTTAATTTTTAAATTTTTTGGAACTAGTTTAGAATATTGTTTTTAAAGAAGAAGCATTTTATAAAAAAATTTGAACATTTTAAAGAGGATGGAAACTGGAGCCCATGGTCAGGTTGGAGTGAATGTTCTCGCACTTGTGGAGATGGAGTTCAGTATAGAAATCGAAGTTGTACTAACCCACCACCAACTAATGGTGGCAAAGTTTGTGATAAAAGCTCTTGGGAAATTTTGTACTGTAAACTTGCAGAATGTTGTAAGTTATTTCATCATAAACTCATGGTAAAAAAATATTTTAGATTTTCAAATTTTTTCATTACATTAACTATGTATATTTTATGTTGTTCTTGTCATCTCATTATTTTTTCACATAATTATATTTTAGGTGATGTAATCTACAATAGTATTGGTTGTTTTAAAGATCCTGGTACTGAGCCACGTCCTTTACCTGATTTGCTTTTCACAGACAATGATCCAGATAATTTTATTGAATCTGGGAAACCTATTCATAGCCTTGATTATCAAGGTTCAATTACTGACCTTGTTTGCAGGTATTTTGATTGCAAAAGTGAAGTTATTTTTTTTTTTAAATTTTTATAATAAAATGTTTTTGTTATTACTAATATTATTATTATTATTACTATTGTTATCATATTATAATTTTTATTCTTCCTATTGCAAAATCTACTGCAAAAAATCCTACTGCAAACCAGGTCTTCTGGTCCAAAATCTTTTATAACATAAATTAAATAAATAACACTATTACCTATGTTTTTAAATTTTCCAGCAACCTGAGTATTCGTTTCCATACATCAATTAAATATCACAAGCTTTGTATAAAATTCTTTTTGAAGTGAAATGTATATTATTAAATTTTATTTTAATAAATTTTTATTCAATTAAAATATAAGAAATTTCATTAAAGACTTTTTTTCTAGATGTGCTAAATCAGCAAAAAATAAACTTTTTACGCACTTCAGTATTCAAAACTTTGGTGATTGTATGTCAGGACCGCATGTGTCAGACACATACAATAGATATGGCCAAGAGAACAGTTTTTCATTCAGACCTAACAGACATCCTTGGTCAGGATGTCTTGATATTGATCAATCTAGATGCAAAGAGTCATCTCTTACATGTATTGGAATGGAAAGCACTAATTTTGTTTATGGATTAGAGAATGGTAATTTTAATTATTAACTATATATATATATATATATACATATATATATATATATATATATATATATATATATATATATATATATATATATATATATATATATATATATATATATATATATATATATGTATATATATATATATATATATATATATATTTATATATATATATATATATATATATTTATATATATATATATATATATATATATATATATATATATATATTTATATATATATATATATATATATATATTTATATATATATAGGCAATAGCAAAAATACAATTAAAAAGTTATTAAATTTTTTTTAAGCAGGTTATGTTAAAATAGTTTTTTATTAAATTGACCAAATGTTAGGCCTATTCTGTTGTTATATTACTCTTTTATGTTGTTTTCAATCTTAATGATTAATTTTTTGTGTCTACGAATGTTCTATCATATTCAAGTTAGAAATTTGAGATGATCATTCTAAAACATTGAGGTTATTTGTTTCAAAGTATAGGTTAGTTTTCAACTCTACTACCCCAAAACAAATCATTTTTTCTCCTGGATGCTTTAAACGTACTTTGTAAACAACATACTTGATAAGCTTTTCCTTCTTTTTGTCCATTTTTTTGGACTTTGATGAGACAAGCCTACATTTGATGAGACAAGCCTATATCTGATGAGACAAGCCTACATTTTGACTCATCTGATCCCAAAACTTTTTTTATTTATAATATCAGCATTTTTTCGTACTTCTTTGCAAACTCCAGTCAATGTCCAGTCTACTATATAACTCCAGTCTATTATTTGACAGTTATGGTTATTTTTTGATTTACTTTATGTTTTTTTAACTAATCTATCTCTATAACCTTGTTTTCTGATATAGTTTTGACTGTTTGAGGTGTTTTGTGGTTGTTGTTGCTTAATGATTTGGTTTGATGTTGTTGAGGTTGAACTTTAAAATTAATACAAATTTCAAAACAGCATTGTTTTTTCTCAAATTAATAATAATATTTCAATTAAATGCACTGTTTGTCTTGCTCTTTTTGTGTTCTGCCAACCACAAAAGCAATGGTAAGTTTAAGATTTCTATTTAGATCTTTTTTGGATTTTTTATGTTAACTCAAGCTATCTTGTCTGCATCTATCTGCTACTAAATTTTTTTTGTATCTAACTTTTTTATATCTAAAATTTAACTTTTATATCTAAAATTTATATCTAATTTTTTAAAGTTAGTATTATAGTAGTAAGTGCTTCATAAATGAGAAGTTCCCACCATGTCCCTGGTAGTATTGCACTCAACTTGTTTCTCTGTGCAGTAGCCTTGTTTGTCAAGATTTGTGTTTCGGAGTTAAAGAGTTGAGAGGAGGCTATAACCACAAGTTGCTTCCATATTACCAAAGGCCTTCTCAACCTCAGGGTGGTAAATAACATAAAAAACTACAAAATACTGTTGCTGGGAAAGCAAATGTTGTTTACTGTTGCCATTTTGCTAAAAAAATTACATTTTATTTAATTTCTGGGACAAAAATATAATATTGGTAATTTTCAGTTATCAAATTGTTTATGAGTATGTTAAATTGTTTAATTTACTCAATTGGCACAAAAGTAAAATTATATCTAAAAGACTGCACTCTTTTAGATATAATTTCTAATCAAATTGACCAGGTCCTTTCTCTTTACCCTGCTGCCAATATTGTTGTTATTGATGACTTTATTGCTCATCACACTGAATGGCTTGGCTCTAATGACACTGACCCTGCTGGCACTAAAGCCTATAACTTCTGCATTCTCAATCTATTACTCAGATAGTTCTCAATCTATTACTCAGAACTTTGTGACTCGTTTTCGTGACAACCCTAATTATTTATTTTCACTCCTTGATTTATGTCTTGTCTCTGACCCTAGCTTGTATTCAGTTTCTCCTTTTTCTCCCTTAGTTCTAATCATACAATATTCTCTATAAGTTTTTTATCTTGTATTTTCTATATCTTATATCTACTTTCTATATCTTATATATATATATATATATATATATATATATATATATATATATATATATATATATATATATATATATATATATATATATATATATATATATATATATATATATATATATATATATATATATATATATATATATATATATACAAACGAAAAACTATTCAAACAAAGATAAGTAAAATATATTTATTAGTAATATATTTTACTTAATATATTATAAAATATATTTATTTTATAATATATTAAGTAATATATTATAAAATATATTTATTAGTTAAATAAATAAATATTTTAATTTTTTCTCTAATAAAATATATTTTACTCATCTTAGTTTGAATAGTTTTTCTTTTGTTACCAGGAACTTTTACTAATTTTATTTTTATATATTATATATATTAATATATTATATATTTTTCAAAACTAAAATATTTGAATAATTTTTATAAAATGTAATTATAACATACAGTTTTAAATTTTTATAGCTGTGCCTGTTGATGGAAATTATACTGAATGGAGCTCATGGTCTTCATGTTCTCGTTTATGCGGACTAGGTGATCGCTTTCGGTCTCGTAGTTGTACAAATCCTAAACCAGCATTTGGTGGAAAATTTTGCTCTGATCTAGGACCCTCACATGAGGTCACAGTATGTAAAGATGCTGACTGTCCAGGTATTTTTTACATAAGTGTTCAACACAGTATTTTTCGTGTTAAAATAAGTCTACGTTGTAAAGTATAAAGGAGCAAACAATTGATGTAGAAATCATTTTTATATAACCATACTTTATATATAAAAATACCTTTAAATAAATTTAGCAAAGCAGTATTTCAATTTATTAATAATTTATTTTAAAGTTATTCATAATAATGTCCCATATAACAAGGTTTTATTGATTGTAAATAAATGTCTTATAATGTCTAACTTTTACTAAAAAGACCTTTTTATTTGTGTTATCAAAGAATAATACATGCTATTAATAATTCTAATATTTCCATTATTGATACACTTTAATCCACAACATTATATTATAACAGTATTATATCTGTATTATGTGTGACATCTGTTTTAAAGGGTTGAAGAGACTAATAAAAGTTTTTAGAGCATACAGAGACAGTAAACAAATGAGACTTTGCTGAATGACTAGCCAAGCAATATTGATGTAGTTGATAGAACTAAAGCTCCTTTGAGCAGCAATCATATTAGTATTTGTAGAAAAGAGAAAGAGATGCAACTTTACAATGATGGGAAAAAGGCTCAAGCTTAGCAGATAGAGCGGGTCCAACTACATTTACAATGCATTTTTGGACCTCGTCTAGAAGGGAAAGAGCATCATTAGAAGAACCAGGGCCAAATAAGAGATTTGTAGAGGTAGAGAATGGAATCAGGAGAGAGAAAATGGCGAAGAGGATTAAGAGAAGCAACCTTGGCTGATGCTAATTAAGCTATTGATAGTATATATGGTTTCCATGAAAGGTCATTAGTAAACAAAAATCCAAGAAGGCATAAAGAAGATGGCTTAGTGAGAGGGTTGCCATTCAATATAGGAATGTTGACTATATTGCAATTAGTCATTATTCCTATACTATGTTTTTTGCAGTAAATAACTGAGTTTTGTTAGGGTTAAATATATTATTTGTTAGGTTAAATATACAAGTCACTGTGAGCCCCAATTTGTTACAGAAGTGAGATCAGATTCTAAATCAGCTGGCTGTTCTTAGCGATCAAAAAGAGAAGTCTTTTGTCAAGTCAGGAATATAAAGTTGAGTCATCAGCAAAAAGAGCTACTTTAGATGTAAGGTTGTCTGGAAGATCCTTAATGTGGATAAGAAACAAAACAGGACCAAAGATAGAAGCTTGAGGTACCCAAGAAGTTACTGGATATAAAGAAGAGTGTTGGTCTTAAATAAAGCGCTTAGAAAGAAACAATTTGATAATCTCAAAAACTTTCCCAGATACACCATATAAAACAAGCCTAAGGAAAAGACCAAGCATGCCAAACCTTGTCGAAAGCTTTAGACATGTCAAGAGAAATAGCCCAAGCCTCTCTGCCTCTACCTAATGCTCAATAAAATCTTTCATTCACAGCAGTTAGCAAGTCAGTCGTAGAGCAAGAGGATTGAAAACTGTATTGATTGTCTGACAGTAAGAATTGAAGTGAGTTCTGGAGAACAATTTTGTATGACTACGAGGAATGTTGTCTGAACCACAAGTCGTAGAAGAGTTTAATTGAGATATGACCTTAGCAATGGAGTCAAATTAGAAGAAAAGTTCTTTCCTAATAGTTTTGCCTTATCCATGGGAGAGGTAATAAGATCAGTCCTATAAACGAGAGATGGAGTGTTAGACCTTCCCTTGTTAATGACACTGTTAAAGTTTAGTGAACTAAGAGCTAAAGTAACTAAGAATAATGGCACTTAGCATCAAACTGTACCTTTTTTACATTAATTTCTTGCTATGATAAATAGTTGTTTGTTCTCATGAGAGTTGTTCTTTCAAAAAAGATGAAAAAATGATTACAATTAGATATAGCAGCGGCACAAGAAGGTAGAAACCATGGAGAAGAATGAGGCTTGACTTGAAGCTGATGAGAAGGAGTAATAGCTTCTATTTCTGCCTGAATCCTGGAGGTTATGTAGGAGATCCATTTATCAGCTGAGAGAGAAAAGACATCAGCCCAAGGACCGTCACGAAGAAAATCACAAAAAAAATCCTAGTCAGCTATAGGGTAGTTGTAAGTAGTGCAATCATAGGCTGAGTTCGAATAGAAAGTACAAGATAAAAAATTTATAGAGAATATTGTATGATTAGTACTGCCTAAGGGAGAAAAAGGAGAAACTGAACACTAGCTAGGGTCAGAGACAAGACATAAATCAAGGAGTGAAAATAAATAATTAGGGTTGTCACGAAAACGAGTCACAAAGTTCTGAGTAATAGATTGAGAACTATCTGAGTAATAGATTGAGAATGCAGAAGTTATAGGCTTTAGTGCCAGCAGGGTCAGTGTCATTAGAGCCAAGCCATTCAGTGTGATGAGCAATAAAGTCATCAATAACAACAATATTGGCAGCAGGGTAAAAAGAAAGGATCTGGTCAAATTGATTAGAAATTATATCTAAAAGAGTGCAGTCTTGGGAAAAAGAAGAATGATGAAGAATAAAGAGAAATATGATAGAGTGAAGAAATGTTTATAAGTAGCGGAAGTACATAAAAGAATGTTTAAAAAATTGGGGGTATATATATGCATCAATTCACAACAAATTGGTGAATTGATGCATATATATACCTCCAAGCCAAGTATGTGGCTATTAGAATCTTTGCTAATTAAAGGATAGTACCCATCAACTCTAAAATCTGCAGAAAAAATAGAGGATTTAAAATCAGTCACATTTAGGGCAAGCAAATCTGGTTAATATTTAACTGATGAGGAAATATTCAACTCATGGAAGGGTGCTTCACAGACCATGAATATTTGTAAAAGATATTTTTTGGGATACTTTTGGCATGATTTAACTTTAAAGAGATATTGACTTATTCATAGATGAGCATGGTCTCCTAAGCAATGAGCTATGCAATTGTTTCAGTCCTGTTAGTTAACCATAAGTCATAACATAAGACTCCTTATTTGGCCTTTGACAATGCGCACCAAAAGTATTAATAGTGACACCATCCATGTGCAACAGGACCTTGTTATACTGTGATATTTTGCAGTTGTTGATGGAATCAGCTTCTCTGAGAGCTATCACAGAGTTTGAGAAACCTTACTACCAACCAGCCTCAGAACCATTAATCTATGAGAAGAGTCAAGAAGATCCAGAATTCGTCATCCTAGGCAGAAAACAATCTAATACAGGTTTGCATCTATGCCAGCCTAATAGATGAAGAAGGGGTTCAAGGCTGGTTAGCAGAATTATTCTGCTTATCCCAAGTCTTTGCCTACGAAGTCTTATACTAGACAGTAGCTGGATGCAGTTAACATCTGTCCAAGATTTTTTATTAAGACACGATCTCTAGCCTTTACTCAACCATGAGCCCCAATATTTAGTATTCAATACTCGTATATTAATTCTCATTACTTGTTAATTCATGATCAAATAAAGGTTAATGTTAATTCATGATTTACATTAATACATTTTAATTCTATAAAATGTTTTAATTTTATAAGATGTTATTAACAATGATGCTTTTTTATGTTAATGGTTTTTTTTAAAACTATTTTGTATTATTTTTGTCAATATGTGTATGGTTAAAAATGAGAGAATTACATGATTAACATAAAAAGTTGTAATATTTATACAATTAAATTAATTTATTAAAATTTTGTTGATTAATGTTTTTAAATGAATATTAAATAATAAATGTAAAAAGTACCAAATTGCAAACATTGTCATTGTAATGTTTAATGAACTTAACCGCAATTATTTTGGGAGATTTAAAATTCAAATTTTTCAGCTCTTATTAATGTCTAATCAAAATTCTGCTGTGGTTTGGGAAAGAGGTTTGGGATTATTTAAAAAAATAAATAATAATAAAGCTTTTGTACAAAATGCTCACGCAAAGTAATGTGGATCTACTACCACAGTAGTCGGTAAAATGCAAACTGTGAAATGCAAACCAGTAAAATGTGAACTTTTTTTGCGAACCAAAACATTTTATTTTAATGACTACAATATTATATATTAAAGTTATATTAAAACTTTTGCTCTTCAATTCTTTCTTAATATAATGGAATTAGATTTATTTAAATCTTTACCTGCTGAATTCTCTATTCGGTACAAACCAAAAGCTGTTACTAATTACATTTTCTTGTGGACTAATGACAAGGATCAAGGTAACATATTTGAATATATATATATATATATATATATATATATATATATATATATATATATATATATATATATATATTTACATATATTTATATATATATAACATTTATACGATTTATTCACATTTCGCATTTAAAAAAAATTAAGGATTGTTTGAAGATTAAGTTGTTTTTAAGTTAATAACCAAGGAAAATTATTTACAATAACATAAAATATTCTTTAGAAAATTGGTGTGCAGATGGGTACAGGTAGAGGCAAGGGGGTTCAAAGACAATTAATGGAATAAAAAGAAAATATTTTAGAATTCTCATTGCGCAAGACACAGTTAGTGATGTGTTTGCACGCAAAGCACAACATCATGCTGATTATGCTAATTCAGTTCTGATATCATACGTAGGTGATGAAGCTAAGACTGTGCGATTTCCTCATGGAAATGCCACTACATCTAATAGAGATTTTATCAGGACACAGCCAGGTGTCATAAACCAAATTAAGGAAAGTACAGGTTCTGTCCAAAAAGTATACAAAGACATAATATTATCAAATACAGCTGATACAAATATAACAGCAGTTCCACCTAACATGGAACAAATCAGTAATACTTGTGCTGCATTAATTTTTGGCGCTCCAAAAGTATGCGAATATAGAGCTGTTTGAGCTGTATCATTATCTGAATCTGATGCTTCAGCTACTCTGACACATTTGTTACTGATTTCATTTGTTGAACTTAACACTGATTTCCTTTTTAGACGCCTTTCAGCAAGTGCAGATTCCTTCTTATCAACACCAGCTATTCGACCAATATGTGCAGTGCGCTGATCTGTAAGAAAATTATGCTCAATTG